CTATCTCTGTACTCCATCTTCATCATCTTAGCCTTCATTCCGTCCTTGGATGCCAAAGATGATGCAGGTTTCACGGAGTGCAGTCGACCCTTCAACTGTGGCAGCTTCAAAAACCTCTCTTTTCCTTTCTGGGGCGACAATCAACCTCAACATTGCAGGCTGATTGGTTACGAACTTAGATGCAATGAAAATGTTCAGCACCCTGTTATGAAAATCAATGGCCGAGACTTCTTTGTGATCGGACTCAATCAATCTGGCAAACCCCGGATGATGACCCTTTCGCGAAGACATCCTTGTCCCACTCCCATTCCCATTCCCACTCACATTCCCATTCCCTTGAATAACACTCAATTTATTCTTCTTACAGCGACTGAGAATATGACTCTATTTAGCAACTGCTCGAAGTCCGGCCTCTCAAGGAAAAGGATAAATACTTCACATACAATTTCCTGTGCCGCCGATGGGAAACCGGGCAACGCCGTCTTTTTCTTGAGGGATAATAAAACAAGTCTTGCGGAATGTGGAGAAAGAGTGGAAGCTCCGGCTCCAAAGGAGGCTCTTGATGAATTTAAGTCGGGACGTCTGAATTTAAGTGGAGCCTTGATGAGACCGTTTAACGTACAGTATCTCGCCTATGATGGCTTCTGTGACCAATGTTTGCGCTCCGGTGGAAGATGTGGAACCAATCGGACTTTTCCACGTTTATTTGCTTGCAACTGTCCCGACGGACCTTTTGGTAAGGGTATGTACTGCACAATAATCTTCATTTCAATTACTGTTCTTCGTTTATACAAAAGGTTTGTTAATTAATAGTTATTAATCCATTGAAAATTGAGTTAGTTTGGTCTTCTTGGGTTAGTTTCTAATTCTTTTTCACTAAGACCTAGTTAATTTTTGCAATTAGCATTACAGTAAGATAAACTGTGTGAAGCGGAATACTAATGACTTATGTCAGAAGTATAAATCCAAGGTTAGGACTTAGAATTAGAAGGGTATGCTTCTTTTGGCACTTGGTGGACTGTTTTCAACTTGTTGATTTCAGTAGTCCTGTAAAGACCCTATTTTTGACATTCAGTGCATTGGTGGGTCTCCTTTGGATGTAGTCCTCTTGCCTGCTTTGAACATGTCAATGGTCCCATTCATAGGATCCTAAAACACGCTGACTGACTGCATTTGTCCACCCATCCTTGACGTCAATGCCCATCATCTGTCTCTATATAGTGAAATGTGAATGCTTGTATTTTAAATATTCGATTCTCTGCAAATTTCGATCTAAAACCCATCTTGGTCTTTCATTCAGCATATTTTTGTGTCTGTTATTTATTGGACTATCATTTTCTCCAAAGTTTTGTTTTAGAATGCAATAAAAAGAAGTGGCAAAAGACATCTCTCCTTTTTTTTCTACATATTATCTTATAAAAAAGTCTCCTTCCTGATGTGGATTCTCCTTCCTGTTCAACCGACCAAGTCTCTCTCAAGTATTTCCAATCTTATTATCCTACAAAAAGTGCCCCACCCAATGTTCTACTTTCTTTTATGCCCTCATTTATTATTTGTTAGGAATGATTATTCTCATGCTAGGGGTTTTCCAATTGACCAATTCCAAAAAGCAGACTACGTCTCTTATTATATCATACTGATGTCACCATTTATGAAAGAGGGTTAACTTTGGAGTCCAAGGTTTTCCATAACATGAAATTGAACACCCAAGTTTATTCCAGTGATTGGGTTTTCTTCTCATAGAAATTTCCTATCAGTTTAGCTTAGCATGTGCTAACAAAGTCATTGACTTCTTCCTATTTGGCTGCTTTTTCTCATTCTGGTTTCCGCTCAGGCTTATTAAACTTGTCGGCTGCCTATTGTGCTCATTACACCAAATCTTTGGTTTATTATTATTATTATTATTATTATTATGGAAAATGAATAAATAGCATCATTATTAGAATTAGAGCCTGGAAGTGATCTAAACCAAACACCCTCCCATGGGACACTAGGCGAAGTTAACTGAGCAATCCTATGTGCTAACTGATTACAGTTTCTATTAGCTAATTTCAAAATGCATGAGTTGAAACATTCAGCTCTAGCTCGACGGTCATCTACTACTGCTCCTATTGAGAGGAAGAGTTCATCCCTTGAGTTCACAACAGCTGCTGCCTGTGAACCATCTGTTTCTGCTATCACATCTTTGCATCCTAAAACCTTTCCTAATTAAGCAGCAAAATAAATGGCAAGGATTTCAGCATGACGACTTGATCTTTTAAAAGGTATGACCTTCAACCCACTACCTAAAACAGTCCCATGGCTGTCTCTCAGGACAAAATATGTAATTTAAGAGTCTGATATGAGGATCAACACATTAGTTTTAAAGTCTAAACAATTATTTTTTTCATTTTTTCTTGTCATGATTTCTCTGGGGGTATCCACAGTTTCTATAATGTTCTCACTAAATGCATTTCAAAGTCTAGTTGTTAGGCATCTCTCCACACCTTGTATGGTAGTTTGTTGGCTAATGGATGCATGGGTTCAGAAATGCGTCATTGTTTTGAATATGATAGGAGTCCAGCCAGACAAAAAAAAAATGATATGGTAAACAATCCTTGCTTTTTCTTCTAAACTTCTGTTTTGTCTTTCTCTTGTTTTCAAAAATGATGAATTTTAAGGAAACAAAACCAAGTCATACCAACCACCATGGAATTTTTGTCCCAATGCTTCCTTCCATTTTGTCTCCATGTCTCTTCTCTGTATTGTGCTTCCTCCATTGCTTTCCCCGAGGATGGATCCACAAAGCTTCTCCATTTTGAGAAAATTTCTTCAGAGATGTATAGTTATCATCTTTTTGAGCACCCTAGCTAGTGAAACTCTGTCCCTTGATGCAAAATTTGAGG